TGGAAAGGGTGGGGCTTCCAAGCGGTTTATTTTCCTCGGCTCCCACGCGCTGAAGGAGGCCTGGAATCCGCAGGATATACGGGAGTCTTTAGCTTTACAGCCGGTAGGTCCAGGAGGGATCTGTGCCCTGTGCCGGGCGGATTGCGGATTCGTTCCTCCTCATTCTGGAGCAGACAGGGCGGACGGCGCTGTTGTCCGCCGTCTGGCTCTCGGACAGGTCCGTGGGAAGGAGCCGTCGAGGCCTGGAGCGTCAGGAGCAGGTTGTCGGTGTAACAGTGGGGCCGGAGGCTGTGTAAATATTGTTTACCACTGGCAGTGCTTCGGCTGAAACATGGCCGCTGCACACAGCGGCACGAGTTGGGATTTCTGCTTTTCCTGACGCAGTGATTCCAGTGGGAATCAGCTCTGCTGTCACAATACGGGTATTCTGCTGTTTTGAGTAGCACAGGGTCACAGGGTTTTGGTGATCACACAAGCCACGAAGCAGAAAACAACCAGTAAAAAAAAGCTGGCTTGGTACATTTTTAGTCATTTTAGAAAATGATGTGAAACATTTTTGTTTTTAAATTGGCTGATTACATTATGGGTGTTAATAATCTCTCTTTAGCTAGTTTACTGTACGTCAGATAAGCAATTACAGCCAAATAGCATAGTTTCTGCTTTATTTCAGTTGACATCTTTTGAAATAGGAGTGTCTCAGACACTTCCTGATAAGGGAATATGATGTCGAAATAATTTGTGGAGTTGGATTGTTCTTTCATATTTTACATGTATATTAATATATACTACTGAATATCAGGGGTACTTTATTGAAAGTGAAATGTTTTCCTTTTTATACTGAAAGTGTAGATATGTTTATTTATTTCAAGAGTACTAAGAGATATGAATCTGTTATACTTTTTAATAGACAAACTTTCTGTTTACACTTCAAGTGCAGAACGTTAATTTCAGCTTCAAACAAAGTGATTATTATTATTATTTCGCAAGAACTGTATACATTCAGTCAGGCCAGTGGTTTTATGGAGCTGCTCTGCTTGCTGAGAGTCTCTGAAAACTATCGTTTGTTTCCAACTTTGATTTAGAGCTGAAACAATCCAATACAGACGGGTCACCTCGTAAGCACAAGAAATACGAGATGACCACTTCAGGGTGGAGTGCAAAGTCTGTGTGTGTTAACTGCTTCAATTCCTTACGCTTTCTCACTCGTTACAAGAAAGACAATTCTGCCATTCATCTGCGACTCATGGAGTTATTTAGTATGAAGGATGATGGTTTACAGAATATATATATGTATAAAATGCGTGCCTTTAATTTCACAGAAGACGTCATTAGTGTCCACGCTCCAGATACTAGTCTCCTACACTACTGAAGCTGTTTGGAATTGTTCAGAAACTGCACAAGTAGACAAAAAGCAGTTCTAATGTAATTTAGGTTAATAAGCAGTTTCTTACAGCTGACATAGACAGCGTGGCTAAGAGCACTGTCAGCAAGGTATTCTGCCTACTGTATTATTAACTTTCTTTAAAATTCCCACCACACAACACCAAATGTCTGTGGAATATTTTGAACATTCCTAAAAATGTACAAATGAAAAAATGGAGAAAACGCCTTCTGAGAGTGCAAGTCTCTTACAGTGCAGAGTAGCCTGTGCCGTCTCTCTCCAAGGGAGCAGGGGTCCCTGGGCCCAGTCTGTCTGCGAATGATTCTCTGAGTGTTCTGGGGTTCTGGGCTGAAGAAGGGTGCTAATAAATACATCTCATGGCTGCAGTGTGGGGTTGAGCTCTCTATGGGGGCAGTCTGCCTTCTCTCATGGAGAGCTACAGAGCTGACGCACGTGGCTCTGAAACTGTCTGAGAGCAGAGGAGCTCTGCTTGGAGCTGGTGCCGTTGGGTCCAGCTCAGCTGGGATGAAGACAGACGGACAGACACTGTGGTTGCTCTGGGCTCCTGCCTGCTGGGCTGCACCGTGCAGTCGCCTGTCCGGACTGGCAAAGAGCAGCCCAGCAGGTCTTGAGGTCTGGTGTCCTCAGCAGTCTATGGCGGGTGGAGAGGCCTCACTGTTTTATGCAAAGGGTGGTAGGAGTGGGGAACAAGCCATGAGAGAGGGGTCCTCCACCCTGCACAGCTGTGGGCCTGAGAAAGATCAGAGGCTGTGTGAGTCCTTTTACTTCCACATCCATTTACACACACGTACTGTATATAATAACATGCTGTTTAGGTTGTGTTGAAACAGTACAGGTCAGACGGTTCTTTTCTCATCTAGGCTTCTGTTCATATGATAATGCCTGGCTTTTAACCTGTTGACACTAAGAGATTGTTCTCGTTTGTCTCAAGCTGCTGACCGCACAATGCTGACCTGCTCTCCGTTGCCAGTTTGTAAGGGGGGGGCGTCAGGTGGGATGGTGACCAGTTGGGCTGGTGCTGTGCTGTAATGTGTTACTGGATCTGACGTTCGAGGTCTTATCAGAAGCTTCTGCCTTGTGAAGAAAACTTGTGGATCTGCAAGATCGGATTTCTACAGTTACTGTTTCAAGAAAAGCATTTTTAAGGAATTCCTTTTACAAACCTTATTTATACAGAGAACTTTGAGACTTACAGTGAGGGTTGAACACTGCACACGGTTTAAAAGGGAGAAGGAGAACTGGCAATTGTTGTACTGTACTTGATGTTTTTTGAAGACTGTCAGTGTGAGTTGTACAGTCTGTGTGTTTCTGCTTAAGATCACTGATGCCCTTGGTACTTTCTTCTCATAGAAGAACATCGTGAAGTTTTTGTACAAAATGTGTTCAGCAATAAATGTAAATGGTTTCAGTCTTCTTTGTATGTCTGTTTTATTCGAATTATTGCAGCTGATGTGGTTATTCGAGGTTGCCATGCAGTGCATTCTGAAACTGAAACCATTAGCGTGTCCCAGTGAGAGTAATGCAGGCTGTTACTGCAGATCCCTGCACTAGTGCAGCACACTGCCAATCAGAAATTCGTTTTTAGCAATGAATTAATTATCCTGAGTAAGTTTTTTTTTTTCTGATTACAGCAACATTCCAACACACAACCCATCGCTGCAAGTAATGCAAGTACATTGCAAGTAATGTTATGCCATCGAAACGCATTAACAATTAAATTGCAGAGGAAGAAC